CGTTCAGAAAACACCGATGGTGGCTCAACAAAATCTGGATTCAATGGTCGTTGTGTATGCTGTCGAAGCGATCTTGTACTACCGCCGTTCATTTTCTTTATAAGTTATACAAACAAAAAGAAAAATAAACAGAAATAATAATAATCTAGAATAACAGAGGAACTGCGATCATTTTAAGCATTTCTTAGCGCGTTATAGCTGTGTTTTCATTTATTATCGAAAAACAATCACTATAAATCAATATTCTGTTATTTATTTTGTATTTTACACATGACATGTTAAAATTGCCAATGAGAAAAAAGGAGATCTCTACCGATAACGAGAAAAAATAGAAAAAGAAATTGAAATCACACGATTTCAAAATATAATCATATGCACACAACAAGCAGGGCAGCATATCACATATAAGGGAAAAAATACTCACTGATACATTGTGATTAAAACATGAAATGAACATATTTAAAAATTATGTTCAGGAGGTTAATTATTAAGCCGAGAAACGAGCGCACTACTATCAAGGGTGAAGGCTTAACAATAAAATATCTACCAACAGTCTGTCATCCAACAGTATTTAGCCATAACAAACACAAAATCCTAAAAAATGGCTTTCTTACGTCTATTTTTGATTTACATAGAGTTAAATATTACAAGAAAGGAAGACTGATCCAAACATAGAAAAATAGAAGTTAGATCTTAAGGGTAAAGACAATAAATAGATACATTAGGAATATGAAATACAGAAAAAGAAAGACTCAACTAATCGTTATGAATCCTTGTGAAGGCAACAGAGATTCGACAATGTTATTTTCCCAAAGATTTTTCCTTTATTGAATTTCGTGGTGATGTACTTGTTTTAATTACTATCGGTTTCAGAGTTATTTTCATTTTCACTCTGTGACATCGATTGTTCTTTCATTTCAATTTCAACAGGTAAAAATTCTTTTACTTCTTCATCTTTAAATGCATATTCGATTTCTACTGTATAAGAAAATTTCGTCTTTGATCGGACCCATTTCTCTGGCGGCTCTTCAGCATTTGGCACGGCAACAGAACGGATCTGAAATGAAAAATAAAATGTCGATATTTTTTATAGAATGAGTGATACATTAAAAAATCAACATACTTGACATTGTGAAACAAATGCTTGAGCCATTGAATATTCAACTTCAGCATTCGGCTCATATTTTTCAGGAATTGGATCGAATGTCGGTATGGATAAATTGCATTGAAATGCATGTGTTTTATAAGCTCCTGCAACAGAAGAAAAATATACGTATTTTTAGTATTACTATTCAGAAATCTACTCACCCTGATCTTTCTTTGGTAATTGATCGATTCGCCAAACAATTGAACGAAATGCTTGCTCATATTTTGCAGTGCCACTTGTTGTGGCCATAAAAACAGGCGTAGAATCACCGCGATGTACCATGAATCGATCAAGACCCTGTAAACAAGAAAGAATACTAACATAATTAGGTAAGTGAGTAGACGGTCAACTGACGGTTTGTTTCTTCAACAAGGCAAAGTTCGTCTTACACAAAAAAAAGAGTATTACGTTAAACTTAAAGATTTTACCATTGAAATAGCTGCTCATTCCGAGTAATGATTGATAACACCGAGTCCGATTGCGCATGCAATTATATTATTTTTGTCAATATTTTATTATACAATACAACAAAGAATGATGTTAATAATTAGATTCACCAAACCTAGTCTCACTGTTCCACTAATAGGTTTTCTTTTCACATTATTTACCGATTTGGTACTAAAGGAAGCTGGGCATCGTCTCATTTAGTAGAGTTGCTTTTATGGAAGTTTTGTCAAATTGCACAACCGCTAGAGTAACAGTGCGGTTAGTCTGTCTTGTTCTAGAGTTTCTTTTTCTTGAGAATTAGAAAACCAAAAGGACTCTATTGTTAATCATGAGCTATCAACATTCGGTACAGACAAAAATAATTATTATTTGATCTCCACTAATCGCTTTGTTCTTAAATTAAAATTCACAAAAGTAAGTTGCTTGAATAGCTTCATTAGCTGTATGTTTATGGACGAATGCAAATCACTTTTTGGACTTCTTCTAGCTATCGCATTCAAATAAATAAATAAAAAATAAAAAACTTTTGGCTCCCATCTCAGTCTGGTCGATCAAGTGACAAGATTATTCGCCGCATGATCAGTTTTAGTACACAATACTTATTAGTAATATATATTTTTCTTTTACGTTCTGAATCGCAACTAGATTTGTAAATCATGATTTTTCAATATATATCCACTAAAATTCTCTAGTAAGCTGGTATTAATAACCTCTAGTGATCCTATGTGTTCAAGAATTTCAGCAATTTATAAGAGTTTAATAGAACTTCTTTAATGACTTTAAGCTTCAGAATATTTTAAGTCAGTTAGTGATTCAACTTCTTTTTAGATTCAATTTTATCTACATAAGTTGTCGCACTAAAACATTAGTACGTTCATCATTTTCAATTCTCTTTTATTTATTAATCATGGCAGTAAACGAGTTTAACTATATTTTTATTTTTCATCCCTACTCAGAAAACATTCATCAACTAAATTTTTTCCTTTCTTCCATTTCACTATTGATGAAGATAAAATCTATTATTTTTTTATATAAGAACCATAGTTCTAGATGGTTTTTTTTTTCTTTTACTCTTTTCGCTGACTGAAGATGAATACTTTTATCTGTTTTGTTCTAGTAGAAAAAAATCAGAAACGATTCTTATGGCTGACTAACCTAGACTGTCAATAAATCAACAAAATATGTAATTTATATCAGAAGAAAAAATTCCATATATACCTTCAGCTTACGTCCTATGAATGAAGAAAAAAAAGTACCTAATTCATTTTATAAGCAGTCACAAATAATAAAAGTTTCAACGTATTCGACTGGAGTCTCAAAGAAAGACAAGGCACTCTACAAAAAACAAAAATTCCATTTTTACCTTGATTTTGCCTGCTTTTCGTCGAACACTATGAATTGCACCGTAGCGAAATCGTTTTTCAACTCGAAACATGTATACCCATGAATCAGGCATCGGGAAACGTATCTGAATATCTTGACATGGACAATAATCATCGCTATTGTCGTCTTTTGATGATGTTGCAACATCAATAACTTTTGATAACAAATTACGGTTAAAAAAACTGGAGACAATTAATTCAATTCGAATTGATACTTGTCGTTGTAATACGGACATAAAGCAATAAACCTAAAATACATCCGTATTTTAAAAATATCCGCTTACTAATACAATCTATTGCTACTCTAGATATTTATTATAGATGCGATTTGGAAATTCCACTTTTAACTTTGTCAGGTCAGCCAGTCAGAGTAAACACACTAAATGAAACTAATAAAAGTTGGAAACGATTCTAAGAACGCATAAATGTACTTCTTCTATTCAGGCCGCACGATTGTTTTTTAGGAGTGGAAGGAACCAAATTTTGGCCAAAAATTGCAAATTTAATGGGGAAAAAAAAGTTTGTTTTGAGAACTGCCAATCAGAAGTAGCGGTTTTTCGCAAAATTCTCTACTAGAAAGTATATCAAAAATTTTGTCAAGAAAAGACCTTTCAGCAGCCTATTATCATCAGTCGTGTTTCTAGTTGAAAAACAATTGTGTAACATAAATTTCGTTTTCTTTACTTGTAATGGCAATTCAATGTTTTGTCTTGGTCTTGTTCTAAAGCGCATAATTTCTAGTTTTTGACTATCCGGTGGTATGAGTTTTAATAGATGGGTGTTCTCGTATTCTTCTTTATTAATAATTGCTGACACTTCACATTGTTCTGGTTTAATCCAATATTCTTGTAATGTTTTATTTGATATTATTTCACTACGTTTATTTATTTCTTTACCATGTCGAAACCAATCATTAATACCAATTTCAACTATTGGTGAATAACCATTTAAAAATGCCAAGATGTATATTCTTGTTCGTGATTTATGTGATGAAATATGACGATAACGATCAATATTTGCTTGATATTCATCAATAATTTTTATTGTTATTTCTTCTTTAAGATGTTTTTGTACACGATTTCGTAAAACAGGAATTTTCCAGAATAGATCTTCTAATATAATCGAAAACTTTTTTAAATATGAATGATTTAACTGACCAAATTTAATAATTTCTTGTTGAACACAATTGGCATGATCCAAAAGAAATTGTTGTGGTTTATTTGGACGAGTAAATTTTCGTATTAATTTTTCTGGTAATGTTACCAGACGTTCAATTCGTACTTGCGGTAATTCACGATAATTGGCTTCAAATAATTTTATTGTATGAATTTTTGTATATTGATCATATTGTTGTAAATTAAATTTTGTCAGTTGATAATACGATTGTAGTTCAATTTCAGCAAATGGTTGTTCAATAGTTTGCGGTAAATATAAACGTAATTTGTTTTCATCTGAACATATTCGAACATAACATTCTTGCCATGCACGCGTTTCACTAATACGTTGGAATGTACTTTTATACAAATCTTTTTGTCTCAATGGTGTACGAACATAGAGTAACCAACCGTTTAATTGCTGTAATTGTAATTCATTTATATCGTTGTGATATGGTTCTAATGGCAAACCATCATCTTCTTCATAAAGATAAATGGGCGGTGGTGATGTGGGCGATGTTGGCACCTTTCAAACAAATAAAACTAATATAATATAGGTAATTATGAAGACAATAGACGAAGTAAAACGGACAAAGCTACAATTCTCGATAAACAATCTACTCTGAAAAGTTTAGCTAATTAACCAAACAAACGTTACTTACCTTCTCTTAAGTTGTCTACCAAAGATAATTCTTTTTGTAAACACCACCTGTACAACCACAACAAACAAATATACATCAATACAAAAGCACAGAAAACAAATATGCAACAATAACAATCGCATGATGATATTTATCTACCTTGTCAGTTTGTGGTATAGATATTTGTCTCTCTTCCGTTTTCGTGTCATTATCATCAGTAAACCAATCGTTAATTAAATCAATGGATGTTTTTTGTAGAACATCTGTTTTTCTATTTTTTAATGATTTTGTACGAAACATTGACAAAGGATCATTATCATCTTCCTCATTCTCGGCAGGTGATGATGATGAGCTGGCATCGCGACTACTTGCCGCAGTTTTTGATTTTTTGTTATTATGAGTCATACTGATCACCATATCCTTTTTCATTTGTGATGGAGATGGCGGTGGCGGAAGTAAAGGGATAGGACCCACAGATGATGTAGTTAAATTTTGTTTATGTTTTTCATCAATTGAAAAAATCATTTGTTTTGGTAAATCTTCATCATCGTCTTCAGATTCATCACTCACTGTTGGTTTTTTAATAGGGATAGTTTTACTTAAACGTGATGATTCTTTATTTGCAGCAAAATAATCATCAGGTACAACATTGCTGTCATCCATCTCGTTTGTCGCTTCATGTATCAGAATTTTGGGTAAATTTTCAAGTGATGGACGTCGAAGAGCAACAGTTGTAGGTGGTATTGTGGGTAAACCAAGTTCAAATGGGGATTCTTCTAAAAATAACATAAAAAATGCATATTTTCTGTGATTTGTTGAAGGTGATGCAACCTACTTAATGTCGAAAGAGGCTGTTGTTGTGGTGGCAGACTAGAGGTTACCGTTGGGATAGGTTTGTGTATTGAACCCAATAAATCTTCTGTTGATTTTACCATGTTAATATCCACTTTTTTCGACGAACCAAGTAATTTTGGATCTACTGAACACATGAGATCATCTGATTCTGTTATCCAATCAAGAAATTTATCATCGAAAGGTGTAGCGGCATTCCCTGATGTTAATGATGTATTTGACGTGTCTAAATGTAACAATGTGAGTGATGACGGTTGCTGGTGTTTTGATGGTTGTACTAAATTTTTTAAAGACGATGCTGATGCTATTGTTTTCGGTACGGAAGATGATGTATTTGTTAAGTTATTTAAACTATCACTTTTGAGAACTTTTGATTGTTGTTCTTGATGAGGATGATTTAATCCAAGTAAATCATACGACGATTGAACTTGACTTGAAACCGTATCTACATTGCTTTTACCTGCTAAAGTACCAGGGTCGACATTGAGATCAAACAATAAGTCAATGGGTGAAATCTGAATGAAACGAAAGCGCATAAAGAGTATTAAAGAACATAAAACCTCTTCTCATGTTCAAAATAAGGAGTGAAATTTGTCTGGCTAGTTTTCATCATTTTAAAAGTATAAAACAGGGTATCTCCTGTCCTGATACGATCCTCAGCTCACGTGAAGAAAGAGGAAAAACGATGTTTCTCACTGTCACTGAATTAGTAACTTACTTGATTTGTATTTTCTGTCGATGTTACAGTTGTTGGCACAAGAAACGGATTCATTAGATTAATACTCCTTGACTGGGGTATGCCAAACATATCTGACGATAAAAGTTGTTGTTGCAGAGACGGTATTCCATTTGACGTATGTTTGAACTGCTGTTGTTGCTGAAATTGAGATGGATCTAAAGATATATTCGTGATGACATCTGTTTGTTTATCTAGAGTATTTAGCATTGATTCTTGACTACGAGCGGATAAGGATTGCTGATATGCGGCCCAATTAGTGGATAATAATGCTTCCTTTCCATTACGAGGACGAATAGATTCTTCATCATTTTCCTTCGTTTTCTCATCGTTAGTAACTGTTGCAAAATTATCTACTGTAAATGGCGAGTCATCAAATTTTTGCGAAGAGGCAGAGAGTTTGATATTACCTAAAGATATAAAATTCGTAAGAAATAAATGTTTTGATTTTGCTGACTAATTAAAACCTAAATGATCTTACCAGATACACCGAACGGGTCAATATCGGCAGGAGTAGTCGGTGTATTTTGATCGTAATGATTGCTGAATGGATCAGATATATGTTTTATATTGCCATTTGTGATCGCAGGAAAACTGGCCATTTTTGAGCTATTATCATCAAATCCAAATGCATCGGCAAACGTTGATGGTATACTAACATTTGATGAAGTCATCGTTTATCTATTTAAACGTTAAAACGCTCATGATATTCACTATTTTGCTTGAGAAAGCCGTATAAATCAACCGAAAACTATCTGAAAGAACAACAATAGTGAATACACTTCGATCTACATATGCTCAAGAAAATCAATCAACAATTTGTCTTATTTCGGTATTTCTTCGAAGGTTTCAGTTCCGAATACTAGGATGAGATTTTCTGTTATGTTCTAAAAGAATAAAGTTTATATCAACATTTGACTGTCAGCCTCGCTTGGTTGCAAGAAGAGAGTGGTAACGAACGAGGTAAAAGTTTTGTTACTTAGGATAGAACAATTTCAGTATAAACCACAAATATCTGCTGATGTAGAAAAAGAAGTAAAAAAGAACCGTCATGCACCATTATTTCTCTCTAGCTTTCAATCGTGCATACTAATGTTGAACCAAAACTTCGTTATTTCCATCGACTTGAAAAGGTATATTGTTTGTGATGTCAGACGATAAAAATCAGACATGCAGGTATATACCGTTTCAAGTCAATGGAGTGCTCCTAGCCAACCACTTTTGATAAGAAGGCACAAAGAGAATATATGAGAAAGATTATCTTGAAAAAGTGAAACTTACATCTAATTACTTACACAAGATTTTAGGTTAGACTTATTTCAAGGAAATAAAAGAAATTTTCTTATACATCATACACTCTACCCAGTTTTTGGTATCGCCATCTATCGCATCCGCGTATTATGACGTAGTGAATGAAGATTATGATCAGTATTTGACAATTAAGCCAAGTAACTGGAACGATTGAAACCCGATCGGCTTATTGACTTTCTCCATAGCCCATGCTCTTTCTTTCTCTACACTTTTGGTCGATTTTTTCATCCACCGTTTGGTTCTCTGTGGTCACCGATTAAGGGAATCCAACCGCTTAAGGAACATAGCAATTTATCTTCAGAGGTTGAAGTAGAATGATTGAAAGAAAAGAGGAATATTACTATAACAACTAACCTTAAGATATTTTAAGGATTTTTCCGTAAAATTCGCGGATAATTAATGAAAACGAATTAAATTGCACCGTTTGAGGGTTATGAGTCATGACGAATTAAGGGATGTGAGTCATATATGAATAAGATAGAGTGAAAATACGTAAAATTGAGAAGAAAATAGTGTTTCAAGAATGAGATGTACACTTTTCATATCTACCATGCGTTCACTAGCTGACAGCAGTATTTTTAATGACACGGTGGGCAAGAAGACTTTGTTGTTAGGTTATGATTTATATATGATGAATCTTAAGTTAAACATAAGCTACTTACAGATTTTTTAAAGTACTTAGTTAAGCACGTGCCAAGCATTTTTAGATTGGATAGGTAACAAGTACTTGGAAGAACTTCAGATTCTGCATATATTCGTAAGTACTTATCAAATACTTAATGACGTACTTATCAAGTACTTATGTTAATATATAATTGTTAATATATAATAACCATCAGGTACTTGTCTGAGTACTTGTACAAAAGTAGATTCACTAGGGATGTGCTAAGACGTGACTTCAGTACACATTTTTTTCATTATTGAAATCTCACAAATGAAAGAACTAAACTGGACTATTTAAGACTTTTTGTGAAAACGTATAAGCTCGAGAATTGAACTATATCTTAATCTTAGTGAAAAATCTTGATTTATATTTACCACGCATTCACAATACGATAAGTGTTTTTGGCATAACGTCCTTCTGCCATGACTTGTGCGCTAACGCTGGTTCCTTCTGAGAAAAGTACTGCTAAACATCACATGCAACGCAAGCAATTTATTTTTACAATAACATAATGAGAAGAATAAAATAATAATAAAAATTAGCACAAATTACTCTGATAGAATATAAAAAGCGTTGGAAACAACATGTACACCGTCCACTGTTAAAAAAAGATCGTCCACGATTGTTGTCTTCCCATGTGTGTTACAATAAACCATTCCAATGAAATGGTTTCGTTTGTACGTTGCTGTTCCAATCAGTTCATATCTAAAAGTTTATTAAAAAGCGTGCGGTTTTTCTCTCTTGAATTGTTCACATATATAATCCATTGTTAGCGAGTACTCACTTTTGATTTCTCACATGTAAATTTTTTGGTACATTTTTTGTTGTTATTTCTGAATACGAGTTTTGCACAATAAGAATTATCGGCGTTTGATCAACGAACGATGCAGAGGATATTCGCCGTCTCCCGTCGCGTGTAACGTACAATCTTAACAGAAAGAATATAAAAGTTGATGTATTTCCAACAGCAATATTTCATTTACCCTGATTTTTGTTTTTCACTTGTTTTGTTTAAACATGTTTCAACAAAATATTCAATTTTCGTGCCTGGAGGAATATGTGTTTTTTCATCATACGGCATGAGTTTGAAATTGAACGTTACAATACCTTCAGCAGAGAAGGATTGTATTATCGGGAGTGATTGTTGATTTTCAGCTATGATGCAAACAAACAGTTAGGCAAGTGCTCATAGTAGATGTAAACTTTGAAATGTAGATAGTTACATGAATGTTAACATCGATCTTGAACTTTTCTTTTTTTTGGCTGGGCATGTGCTGTTACTACAAATGGATTCATATGTGTAACGTTGTAATTCATTGGTGACATGATCACAATACATTTCGTCTTCAAACCCAAAATAATTTAAATAAATATCGATTTTCAATTTGTTTTTAAATTTTCTGGCTTGTTTATTCATACATTCAAATTCTGTGTCATCCATGTCCTCCTAAAACAGTGACAAAAATGAAGGAACTTGATCAGGTCTGTTAAAACTTCTAGAAATCCATTATCGTATTCCAAGTGATTATTTATAACCGGCTTCGGCTTGTCTGTTGAACTAGACACGAAACAACACACTCAACAAATGTAGATTTAGGGAAATAAAAACGAATCTGGAATGCAAACTATGAAGATTACGTCGACCTGTTGACGGAATGACCGAACAACATAGATTCTCACCTTTAAAGAATTCATTGTTCGTTGATTATATAACTGAGTATCGACGGCTCTTTCCACATGTCCTGTGAATTTCGCCCAAATTAATCGTGCTAAATTCCAATCCACTTGTAATAATGGGCTGCTTTCATGTTCAATAATGTTTGTGCCAGTTTGCTGCCTGTCTTTTTACACAATGACAGCAAAGCTGTCTGAAATGTTTCACTTCTCACAAATGCCATTCGAATAAATACGAGGAAGTAATCGAGTG